ACCCGGCGCTACTCCGGCGCCCCCGGGCCCAGCCGCGACCGAACAGCAGCGCGCTGGAGACGAGGACGGACGGATCCAGCGCCGGCGCTTGGAGCTGTTCATCCAGCCGCGGGCAGGGCAGGGCGTTTTCGGGGGGGATCCAGGGTCTTCGACACCTCCACGGATGAAGACCGCACCGCCTCTCTGGGTAGCCGGTTCCCGCGCTTCACCACCTTCCACGTGAGAGAGTTTTCCTAATATCCAACCTCAACTTGCCTTGCTGCAGCCTGCGCCCATTGCTCCTTGTCCTGTCGTCCTCCCCCACTGAGAACAGCCCAGCTCCACGGGATTTGGGACTCGCTTTCCCTTGGGTCTTGTTTAAACCCCCTTCCCTCGGTCCCGGTGAGGGGGGCGATGCCTCTCACCACATGCCAGGACATTTGGTGAGTTTGGATTATCCTCGGAAAACCTATTGTACGGCAGTAGGATTCACACTCAGTCCCTTGGCGTCTGGGAGCCGCGCACTTTCCGCTGTACCCGCCTGCTTCCGGACGCTCTCGTCCAGGCCGCTCCTTTGCTGGGCGGCAGGTTTCGTAAGTCAGAAGTCCTGGGCGGTCTGCAGCCGGCGCAGCCGGGACCCCGGTCCTCGGGCAGGTCCAGGGCTGTCGTACGCCCTCAGACCTCGGGGATGACGCCAGCGGCGGGGGTCGCACCTCGGTGGTTGGGAGGTTTGCTGACGGGCTCCCAGCTGCAGGGGAGACCCTGCCCCATGTGCCAATTAAATAGCGACCGGCTATGAAGTTAGTGCAGTTTTTCGAGGTCTAGCCTTCTAGCTGGCTGGAGCTTTTTATCCCCCTTTAGCTACTTTTCAGGTGTCGCTGGTCTCAAGGTCATTGTGCAATTAACCCATTGATTGCACGACTCTTGGAACACGTATTGGTGGCCGGAGTCCCTTGGGACAGAAGAATTGTGCTAGTATTTTTTCGTTGTCAAAAACCAAGTGAAAGGTAAGGGCTGGTGTTTTCTGATGGGTCTAAGAGCAGGGCTTTGAGTCCGCAAACATGGAAAACCACTGGTCTTGCTTAATACTGGTGGCCCTTCAATCCCTCCTCGCTCTTATCCTCTCTTGGGTAACTAATCCCAGTTCTTCCAGCCTTTCCTCCTATGCCCCCTGATCCGCTTCAACAGATGAGGGGAAGGCAAATGCCTTCTGAATGTGTGTGTCCTGGAGAACAAACGTGCCATCTCTCCACCCTTGGCTTTTATTCTGCGGTATCTGACAAAGTGAGCCTCAGCTCACAACTGCTTCTGCTATATATCTCTATCTCTATCTTTACTTTGGTTAGTCTATAAGGTGCAACCGACTGTGCCTTTGGCTTGACTTCAGACAAACACAGTGAACTACGTCTCTCTGTTCTGAAGGCCGGTGCAGAAACTGTTTGCATAGCACTTGTAGGAGACTCTTCTGGTCAGGATAACCAAAGTTTTACCTCCTGTATGTGACAGGGCTGCCAACTCGCCAGGATTGCCCTGGAGTCTCCAGGTACTAGATAGACATCTCCAGGAGATGCTGGGAGTCACCCAGGAGATAAATGATAGGGCATTCATAAAAATAAATATGAAAAGTTGAATCTAAATTTGTACAGTAGTCCCGTGGGTGTTTAAAATGTAATAGGTGCATTTTAGAGCCCAGTAGAGCAGTCATTAATGACACTGTCATGCCACAAAACATCCCCGAATAGATTCAAACAGCATGGGCAACCCTAGCACTTGAGGCAGACAGGTTGGCCCTAGTTCCTTCACACATGCTTGTTTTATCCCAGCAGGGGCTGCCAAGGGGAGTTTTTCCTTATTGTCCATGCTGGCAAAGGAGGAACAGACCTAACTGTGCAAACTGCTCCTCTCCTGCAAACAGGGTTTCACTTGTCCATTTGACTAGTCAGCAGGGCAGCATTCACAGTCCTTGAGCACTTCTTAGGTGCTTGCTGAAAAGGTGGTTTGCTCTGACCAAACACTTGGCAGAAGAGCTGTTTCTTTTTCACTCCTTTGCTGTTTGACTCCTTGTTTTGTATTAGTTGTGCACAAGAGAGCAGCAAAGCTTAAACTTTGAGCCTTTGCTATTGCTCTGCAGGCTTGGTGGGCTAGTTCCTCTCTGTTTCCAAGTGCTTTCCCCTGCTTCCAGATCCATTCTTGTAAAACAGTAACCTGGACCTCATTACGAGCAGCTGGAAAGACACGAGTTGATGTAGAAACCACTGACCAGAAGAAGGGGTGAGAACAGAAGACCTAGTGTCAGGAAACTCTCATAGGAAGGAAGGAAGACAAAGGAGAAAGAATTGGCAGCAGGGAAGGAGGGCAGCAGCTGGAAAAGAAAGCAGAGCAGCAAAACACAGGATTGCCCTGGAGTCTCCAGGAATTAGATAGAAATCTCCAGGACATCCTGAGAGTCACCCAGGAGATAAATGCTAGGGCATTCATTAGAATAAATACCAAATGTTGAATCCAATTTATACAGTAGTCCAATGGGATAGACTCCCCACCACTGTGCCCAGTGCTGTGATTTAAAAAGGAAATTGCACCCAAAACTGGTTGTGGTAGTAGCTCTAATCGATATTAGAATCCTAGAAAATGAGGTTTGGAAGGTCACATCTAGTCAGGAGGTCACATCTAGTCCAACCTCTGCTCCAAGCAGGACCAGCCCCAACTACATCATCCCAGCCAAGGCTTTGTCCAGCCGGGTCTTAAACACCTCCAAGGATAGAGACTGCACCACCTCTCTGGGGAGCCTGTTCTAGTGTTTCACCACCCTCCTCCTGAGAGAGCTTTTTCTAATATCCAACCTCAGCATCCGTTGCTACAGCTGTAGCCCATTGCTCTTTGTTCTGTCATCTGCCCCCACTGAGAACAGCCCAGCTCCGTCCTCTTTGCAGCCCCCCTGCAGGAAGGTGAAGGCTGCTATCAAATCTCCTCTCATTCTTCTCTTCTGAAGACTCAATTAGCCCAGTTCCCTTAGCTTTTCCCCAGAAGTCACACTGTATTTATAAATATATATTCCACCAGCAGGAAAGGGCTGGCTACATAGTTGTAGGGAATGGTTGCTCTGATTTTTGTAGAAGTTTGCTGTTACACACAAAAAAATGATCCCATTGTACTGAAAAGAAGACCAGGTTTGCAAATTTTATGTTTAAAAATAGGCCTTGTATCTGAGGAAAGTGCAAAACCATGCTATCCAAACTGGCAAACGCAAGCACAGACTCTTCATCTCCGGAGATTTTTAACACCCAGGTAGACAAAGCCCTGGCTGGGATGATGTAGTTGGGGCTGGTCCTGCTTGGAGCAGGGGGTTGGACTAGATGTGACCTCCCCAGGTCCGTTCCCTCCCTCCTTGTACGTGATTCTGTGATTCCTTATTTCTGGATGCCACGCACTCAAATTAAACCTGGATAGAAACCAGCCGTAGAGTTGGTACGCATGTTCAAGCACTACCTCTGTAGCTGGTTGGCTCTTTTTATAACTGGATGGCTATTTTTATGGCAGGATACATACTTTGCATGTGCAGCCGGTGTAAATTTATTGCATGATTCACCAGTGAATCGCGTAATCGATGCAACGTGTGGCAGGGGACTGTACAGCCATCTTGTCGGATTTTGTGCTGGGGCTGGCGAGAGCTCTCAGTTCCTCTAAGGAAGGGTCAGACCGAAACTCCACGGGTAGCCTAGCGTTTGGGACAGGAAGTGCACTCCTGCCCACCTCAGACACCTTCCCCATGGCTGGCATTTTGGTTGCACACGTACACGACTGTGTAACATAAAGTAAAGGGAAGGGGCCTTTAAAAAAAAAGTACAACACATCATTGTTCTTGAAAAGGGCATTTATACAAGGCACAATAATGACAGGGAGGTAACAAAAAGGAGTAAAATCAGGCAAAATACAGTCAACTGTGAATTCAAGCTTGGATAATTAAGACATAACAAAAGCTTTCCAGAGCATTGCTAGGCAGGTGAGCAAGTCTGAGGACCTTGTCCTTTCAATGCCTACTAACGTTGGGAGAGATTAATATTGACATTGTTTGGTCCTGCACACTGTATCTTTGCACAGGCGGTTTGGCTGACATAGCATACGAAGGGACTAGTTAAATCTTTCCAAGGTCACGTCTAGTCCAGTCACATATGTTTTGCCTCTTGTTGTGGAATTAGCTACTTGGGGTCCAAGCCCCGAAACCTCAGGTCCACGACACAGACAGTCCCATGGAGACCTCCTGGTTTTGCCTGGGCTCCGAGTTGTCGCTGCCGTGCGCAGCACCCCCAGGAGCACAGTGATGTTGGGCGTCCCCAGGCCAGCTGCTTCTTCGAGATGTCAGACACCAACGGTGCTGGAGCCCATCAAAGAAAAACATCCCAAGAAAACACTGGAATTGGCCATTGAAATGCAGGACCTGGTCCCTTCTGCCCTTGTAATTGCAGTCATAAAGAGCAGTAACGAGAATCGTGGCCACGAAGGAAAGGAGAAGGCGGAGGGGGCTCTTCCTGGGATCTCCCGAGCAGATATTAACAACCGTCCAGCAGCAGGATGATGGCCACCTTGGCCCCCTGCTTTCCCGGTGGCAGGTTCGGGTGTGATGTTGGGTGTCGTGTCAGGGTTGATGGTAGTTTTGTGAAGAAGGTCGATGCTGGGTTTGTCTGGGCTGGTCTGGACGGGCTGATGCTGCCTCAGGCAGGGGTTGGACTGGATGTGAGCTCTGGAGTCCCTGCTCACCTGACTTCTCGTTGATTCTATGATTATTCACATGCAATAATTACAGAAAGGACTATCATTCAGCAATTAGTCTCTACAGCCAAAGTAGCACACGCGCAATGAGCTAATGCCTCACCCAGCACAAATCACTTATCTTGCAAGACAGACCGACACCCGTGCATCTATGACAGAGGTCTACAACACCATGAAGGGCAGGCACCAAGTGAACAGGGAGCTGCTGTTCACCCTGTCCCAGAATACTCGACTGAGGCAACAACCGATGAATTACAAAGGTTTAAAACTAACAACAGAAAGGACTTTTTTCTTGTACACAACACACCGTTAAGGTGTGGAATTCAGCACCCCAGGAGGTGGTGGAGGCAGAGAGCATAGCCGGGGTCAGAAATGGACTGGAGACATTCGTGGATCTCTTAGTGGCTCTGATCAGAAAGGTTGGAGATGTTTTCTTTGGCATCTCTAGGTCAGTAAGGATGGGTGCCAGAGAGGTACTGAATAGGGGATCGGTCATATCTGGCTTAATGCTCCCCCTATAGAGTATCTTCTTTTGCCACTGCTGGAGACGGGATGTGGGGCTAGATGGACCAGGGGTCTTACCCAGTCCAGAAGTTCTGATGCTCTTACGTTCTTCAGAAAAGACGGGAAAAACCAAAGCATGATATGAGACTTTATACCAGATTAGACATCCTCCTTTTCAATGGAAATCTTGAAATCAGGAGGGGCATTTTTTCTTAGTTCTTGTATCAGCTCCAGTTTTCTCTTTAAAGAATGGTCCAAGCTGACGATATTTTCATGTGTTTTAATATCTTTGACTTTAAAGTCACATTTGAATAGTAATGCTTTGAAAACATCTGGGTCACAGTCGAGTTCCAGAAGATTTTTTATGTCGGTTTTAATCGTGTCCAGTTCCTTTTCATTGTCCCTGAAAACCTGCAGTAAGGATTGTTCCAAATAGTCCGACCTTTCTTTCTTCACTTCTTCCTTTTCTTTGCTCTCTTTCACCTTCAGATCTATGCTCTGTAATTTATCCTCCGCACACTGCAGAACCCAGCTCAGCCGGCAAGGCCAGGAGTTAGCAAGAAGGACCCAATCTCTCACAGCGTCATATTGTCGCATTTTCCTGTCTATTCTCTCCCGGACTAGCAGCTCAATGGTTATTGTATTCAGTATTCTCTTCAACTGGATCTTATTACCAGGGAGGCTTGTTTCATGACTTATTGATTCAAGGTTGTGAAGAACTACTTTCATTGTTTGTTTGAACCTCCAAAAACTTCCATCCTCTTGATATTCTGTATCAGTTGCATAGCCGCAGACTAGACAAGACCTTGGATTACCTTTTTCTTGCCCGTATTCCCTGAGGATCTCTAATTTGGTATGGGCGTTCATCCGAGGCACTGAGAAAGGCAGACTTATGATTCGGTTCAGGTATTCGTAGCCGTTGTTGAACATATTACTGGACTTTTCTATACACTCCACCATGATTTGCGGGTCAACGGCCAGGATGGAGATGAAGGGGACTTCTTTGTCTGAGAGGAGGATGTTGACTGCGTCCAGAACTCCGACCACCTTGTCCGAGGTGCAGATGTCCAAGTCGTTAATCAGCAGCACCACCCGAATGTCCCTTTGCTGAGAGAATGACTTAAACTGCAGGAAATTGGTCAAGACCTCAACTTCAGTTTTAACACAGTGCATGAAACCCAGTTGGTCGCTCATGTTCGTCCTGTTCATTTTCCTCTCAAGACTTCTTTTCAGGGTAAAAAAGCAATTGCTAAGTACAGGCAAGACAGATATGCCAATCCCGGTAAAGATACTGACTAGCATTCCACAGATCCCGTACGGTCCGACGTACATAACACACAGCACAAGGCCTATCACCAACAGGGGCAGAAGATAAACAAAAAAAACATGACATTACACCACCTTGTCCAAAGCCATTGGATTCTCTCATCTATTCTATTTTTTGCTTTTTCCCTACAGGCCCTGAAGATGCTCAGAGGTAGCCTGTATTTGCTTTCAAGGGTGTCGCAGAGTGTGGTGATCATCCCGGCCCAGGTGTGGTCGCAGCCTATGTACTCCCATGCGCTGAAATCTATAAAGATGTACTGAGTGTGCCGACATTGCTTTTCCTTCTGAACTGGTTGGCTGAACAGTATGTGACCGACAAGGCAAAGCCATGTCCACAGACGCTGTAAGCAGTTGGCTCTCTGCTTATTTCCACCTGTCTTTCGCGCTTTGAAATGCAGGTGATCTGCAGGGAAAGAAAAGGGGAAGAACAGATAATTGACAGCGCCTTCGTTACCCTCATGCGGAGACTCAGTGGGTTTTAGCTACTGTCTATGGACAAGGAAAGGATGGAGAACTAGAAGCAGATTTCTAGAATCAGGCAGTGTGCTCAGCCCCTCTTCTTGTTTGGCCTAATAAATTATTATTTGTCTCCTCTAGTTCCCTTCGGCTAAAGGATCCTGTAGCAGGCTGGCTGGGGCTACAGGCCAGCTACAGGCCGCCACACAACTGATTGCGGAGAACAGTTCTGCCTAGGAGAACTGGACCAGCTGCAGAGGATAGTCAGCTGGTCCACAAGAAGCTAAAAGGCTCCTGGGAAAAGGAGCTGGAGAGAGAGAGACTGCCAGGGGAGACAGCCAGAGAGACAGAAGTCTGCGAGAGAAAACAGGCTAGTGGTGACAAAACCAAGCCAGGCCAGCTCACGGGGTCTGGGATGAGACCCGGGTGCTGCAAGGCTGGAAGCTGCAGCTCTGCACCAGGGAACTGATGCCAGAGGGAGAGAAGGAAGACGGCGGTGTTGAGAGCAGCAGGGAGCCGTAGTCACCATCTCAGGGCCTGGGAAGAGGCCATAGAGCTGTGAGTTAACCCTGTATGGACGACAGTACGTTTGGGTTAGGCAGGACTGAGGTATGTCCTGGTGTCCCTGAGAGGAAAGTGTGCCCAGGAAATCATGGACTGAGCTGAAGGGTGAAGATGGAGTGAGCTAAGCCACTCCCTGAATCCGCTATAGTCTGCAACATGGCAGAAGGGAGGATAGTTTGAACATGAAGAACATTCAAAAGGAGAGAGGGTCGTTCACACCTGTGGAGTAGAGAGATTCGCAGGAATCAGGGAGATGATAATGAGCCATGAAGTCAAGTGACTCCTTCCCTGCTGCCTGAATAGAAATGCCACTGCCCCTCCAGGCCATTGGGCTTAAAATTTGGGTGGAGCAGGAATCCAAGGGGGTGCGACTGCAGCACTGCCCCTCCCTGGATCCACCCTTGGGCAGTAAAATCATGTCCTCCTTGCAGAGGTCACCTAGGGCCTGCTGCTTTGTGGAGAGGGGATGCTACAGGAGAGGCTCCCTTCATTTCCCCACTGCCACCTGCCACCTCACCTTTGTACCATTCAGGTCCCTGCTTTGAGATCACATCCTGTTTTCTCCAGTGATTCTCACCTTTGATGATCTCTAGGAGCTCCTTTTTACCATGTCCCCACTCGGCATATAATCCCACCGTCACTGGAGGGTGGGAGTAGTGAAGGACCTCAGCCAGGGCTCGGCAGTATTCACGCTCAAGGAAGAAACCTATGCGAATAGAGATCATAGAGAAATCAGACCTCCAGAGGTGCCATCTCTTCCAACCCCTGACTGAGGCAGGATCAGCCTTGTCGAAACCACGGTCAGCCCTGACAGCACAAGACATCGCACCTGCCCCTGCCCCAGAGAAAGCAAGGGGACCACAACAGCCAATATCCCACTGCTGTAAAAGTGTGTTAAAATACGCTTGAGACATCCCAGATAGAGGCTGTGCCCCCCACTACAGCTGAAAGCAAACCCCACCTTTAGTCTATACCAATCTGACTAGGGAGGAAATCTCTTCCTGACCCCAAATGCAGTGTCAGTTTGACCCGGAGCAGGGGCCAGACCCTCCAGCCAGGACCCTGCGGGGTTGGTGCCACCAGGAGCACTGGTGCAGACCAGTCCCCATCCCCAGCCTGGGGTGCAGCAGCACCCAGCACCTCTGAGGGAGGCTTAAAACCCTCTGACACATGGAGCAGAAAGGGCCGGGGGGACAAAGGCAATAAAGACAAAGGAAAAGCAATGTCAGACTCTGGGAAAACCAAGAACTTCCCACGTCAGAGCATTCTCCCGGGCAGGGATTTCTTCCCCAGGACTCGGTGGCTGGGCTGAGGCCGTGTGGCAGTGCTTCTGCAACACGAAGTGGCCTTTGTGGACAAGAGAATCCATCCCAGTCTTCCGACGGGACACAGCCCTGTCTCCAGCCACCCTGAACCGCCCTGACTAGGATCCTCCCTGGGACCAATTCAGAACTCAGTCAAAAATAACATAACCTGATACGATGTGCTGGGCTTCAGCCAGCCCCCTTTTCATCCGCCCTGACTCATACCCACTTTAGCTAGGAACAGACGTTGCATTTGTCCCAGGACAAGTTGGGTCTGTATCTGTCCTGGAACAGAAATGTCCTGGGATTGGCCTGTGCACACATTGCTCCGCTAATCAGGGTTTAGCCAGCTGCTGAATGTGCTGTTACTTTCTGGCCATTGATGCCACAATGACATCCCAAGATAACAACTGAAAAGCACTTTGCAATGTCCTGGGAGAAACTGGTTGTACTTTTTACCCTGGAACCCTTTCTAGGATTGATCCTGGGGCAGCAAATGTGGATATCTGAGCCATTGTACTTTGTCTTGGGATTAAACGGTTCATCCCAAAATAATTGTAACCTCTGCTTGTAGCCTTTGTGATATCGATCTTATATCATGTTACCCACGAGCTCAGAGCCCGACCCCCAGTTATTCGGTATAATGGCTAGACACCACACATACACAACGAGCATCATATGCTAGTCCTTCTCAGTTTTTACTTTTAAGGAGCTCACAAATGGATTCTTCTGTGAAATCAGAGATCTACAAACCTGTCTCCTCTGCCCTGTTTATAAGGGCTTCTCCGTCCTTTAAACTGTCAGACTTCATTTCTTCAGAGCTCCCAGACCGACGTTCACCAGCTGCTGAGCTGCACAAGAGACACAAACACAACACCGAGGAGTTACAGAAAAAGGAACGACTGCATTTGGCCTGCATTTGAAGGAAGTCTCCTCAGCTGCTCTTGTAAAGTCCACATTGCTTTGACGAATACATTCATCATCTCATAATGTATTCAGACAACAGCGCGATCATCTGAGGGTGTGAGGCTAGGTGCCTCGTTCCAGCTCAGAGCGGGCCATGCAGAATACAAGCAATATATAAGAACACTGATCTTAGAAAAAAAGCTATGAATTCCCACTGAGGCTCCTGAACACCTCTGGACACCCGGCCTGGTGCCATGTCTAGACTGAGCTCGAATGTCATCCTTCAGATGGCTAAGGAGGATACCTGATATAGCCACATGCTACACTCAGATTTCCCCCCCTAAAATTAGGTGCTTTTGGGGTTACATTCATACATCCAGGATCTTGGGAATCTTGCTACTCATGTCAAGTAGCTGCAATGCATCTTTTGTTTTCCACTCTACTGAACATTTTTGAGTATGTTCAGGAGTGAGTTGGAAAGACACTTGGGATGGTTTAGGCAGGACTGAGCCTGCCCTGAGCAGGGCTCTGTACTAGATAGGACCTCATGTGTTCCCTTCCAACCTGACTTCCCCAGCATCCTATGGAGGGAAGAAGGAAGGTCGTGAACTGGGAAAGAGGGGTGTGAACAGAAGCCCTTAGAAGACGAGAAGAGCAGCAGAGTGAGCAATCTAGGTAGTAGCAGAGCAACACTATTCAAGAGCAGGGTAGTTAATACCTGTGAAATGCAGGGAGAGCATTGGCACCAATTGGAAAGTTGTAAGGAGCTCTAAAACCACTCTCTGTACTAAGACCAGATATTTTCTTTTGCTGTCCAGAGAAGAGTACCCAGATATAATGGTGAGGGACCACTATCGAGAACTAGACAGAAGAGCAGCGTATGAGTTACTTACTTTTGTTGTCAAAGCTGTGTCAGAGACTGGAAAATTCTCCCTCTGCAAAGGAACCGCTGCAAAGAGGAAGCCAATGAGAGGATTAAACCTTACGTCCACGGCTCGCTTGTAGCCTAGCACATCGGAGCACGGTGAGCAAGAAGTTTTTCATCTCATATCCCATTAACACAGTTGTGTGGCTGGTGTGAATCCACATCTCCGCTGAATTTTGCAGGGAGTAGAGGGGCAGGACTCTACTGTCCCTTCTGTTTTTAAGCAATTCCTGTCCCGTGGAGATGCATTGGCGGTGTGAGGAGATAGCCAAAGAGAGGAGGACTCTTTCCCTCTAGTAGGTGGGTCAGTGTCCAGTTTTCTGGTCCCATGGGGAACAAGGCAAGAACCATGGGTGGATCTAGGATTTTGAAAACGGGGGTGCAGATAGCATTGTGCATCTGCACAGATAATACAACACATATTTTTCTCTGGTTCAAGAGAAACTAGAAGCATTACTAATATTCTGGGGGCCCAGTACTGTGTCATTCCCTTTCAGATCAAAGCAGAAGTGAATATTACTTTATTGGAATGGGCACAGATTGGCTGGGTTAGATATTAAGTTTGAAAAGATGCAACGAACTGGACCAGAAAAAGTCAAGTTGGTGAAAAGATATTGTCTCATTAGTCCTGGAGTCATATAGTTAAAGAGGATGTCACCTGAGGGCAGCCGTGATGCCGCCTCTATCCTGCCTGGCCCCCACTCCTGGGTGCCATCCTGGGGACTCATCCTGGGACTCACCCGGAGACACCCAGGGTCTCATCCTGCTTCCTTGCCTGCTATGCCTTGATGTAAAGAGGTAATGCTGGTGAGCCTAGGGTGGGCTTGCTCACTCACGCTCTCTTGCACTCTCTCGTGCTCTCTCTCTCCCACACAGACCCTGCGTAGTTTAAGGGCTAAATTTGTGACCTCCTTCCACCCCTACAGCCATGCCCACACCTCACGGATATTACTGATTATCACTTTGACAGGGCAACTTCACCTCAGTGCAGTGTTTGGCCCCTCAAGCCTCAAAGCCTTTGTCAGGGCGTTGGCCCCCTTTTCTGGGTGCATTTTGCTTTTTCCCAGGTCCCCTGCACTGGATTTTGGCTCTTGGATACCAACCGCTATCTTGGCCTTTCTGGGCTCTGGGCTTCTGGCTCTGGACATCCTCCTTGGGCTCTGGCTGTGGGTCTCCCAGCTTCAGGCCACCTTTATTGCCTATCCTGGTTCGAGCTCTGAGTCTTTCAACCTGTCGCTCCTTCTGGGATTGGGCTTCAGCCCAGTTGGCCTTAGGCGCACCTGTGCCTTACACCACTACCCCCTAGCAGGGCTCACAACCTAGCGCGCCCCTCAGGCACCCCCCTGCAGCCTCCTCTTCACCCCTTACAGCCACAGCCATCCCACTGGGCCAAAGCTTAAATCACAACAAAAAATACAAGTCAGGACTTCCCAACCAAAAGTACCTGTACTAGCTCTGGGTCGTTACCCCACTCAAAGCCGTCAGCTCCTTTTACCTCTCCAGACAAGTCCAGGGAGCAGCTCAGGTACCTGCCAGCCGCCTTCTGCAGGTGTCTCGCTCAGGAGGTCCTCTCCCTGCAGCTGGCAGGGCGTGATTGCCTGCTCCAGCTCAGCCCCTGGGCTTATATGCCTGAAAGCCATGCCCTTTCTGTCACGTGTCTTCCCAAGCCCACTCGCGGGTTTTTCCTGTGAATTGAGGAGCAGCAGGTTAAGATTGCTGAAGTGGGAGGAGCCCCTGGGTCCCCAGTAGTCCCCCTCCTCCCTTCCACTATACCCAAGTAACAGGGTTTGGCTCCCCTGTTACAGTACGTCTCTTATGCAGGTTCATAAAACAAAGTCTCTCCTTTTTGAGTGTCTTGGCAGTGCCTCTGATACTTCACTGTCAGTCATGTCTACACTTGAGTGATTGTGACCACACCTGAGATAAGGTTTTTAGCTAGAACTAGAAAGCAGCCTGCAGGGCTGGGAAATAGAGATTCCCAGGAATGGCTAACATTCAGTTTAAGGGGTAGATTGAATAGTGGAACAGCAGGACCTTTAAAAAGGTTGTTAACACCCATGG